TATACCTAATAATATCGTCGCTCGCACGTTCTAAGATGTTGGCGACGATCGTCGTGCTGAGGTAAGGGAAAAAATCATCGTCGTTTAATTACGGTGCACCTAGAGACGGTGCACGGCTACGTTACGACTGTTGCTAATATTAGTGCCATTCGTTGAAAGGCATTTCTGAAAAGCAATTAACGCGCGATGCACAAAAAGTGGCGTTCTTTGCTCGCGCTCGTGTTCAAACGAATTTCGCGCATCTCCTTGCTCATGCCGCATAAAAATTTCCCAAGATTTTCCCAGGCACAGCTTCCAAATAGATCGTCCAAATTTGCCCCAAAATTAGTTAACCAACTATTATCCCATTTTTAGTTAACTATTATACTCTATTATACAACTATTATACTCAAGAAGATGAGGCATCAAGAAAATGAAATATTTTTTAAATATTTTGAGTATTTTACTTGATAGCAAAATTATTAGAAAAAGTCGACATATATTCAATTTTAATGGTTCATTGTTTGTCAATTTATTTGTTCAATTCTAATGTAAAGTGAAGACCAGAAGAGAATATTGGAGAAACTTTGAGTTTCCTATTTAGAATCGCATGTTTGAATCATTGCATGTCTAACAAGTAAACCCAAAAGGTACACTCCGATTTCTTTCTAATTTAGCACAAATGTAGAAATACAAAAAAATATTTAGATGATATTTTTTCAATTTGGCCCACTTTGAGTTTCACCTCAGTAAACCTCAATTAGATCCCAGAATATGTTTTATAGATAAAAATAGGATTCTCAATTAATATTGCGATATCATAGGTCTACTTGAAACAAATTTGAATAATTTGATCGGAATCTATGTTATATTTCAGGATATTTGAGAAATGTCCATACAAGAACCAGAATTCATAATTATTTTGGAGAAATCGGACTGAATCCCAATTGGATCCCAAGAAATTTCTTACGCGGGGTAATGAGACACGCATACGACTCGCTTTGATATGCAGATGGACTTTTCAGCACTTTCTTTCTCCTCTAATCTCAGCTCACAAGTTGGCGCGTCCCGTCTCCGCGGAGTTCAACGGCGTCGTTACGTGTCGTAACCGTCGAACGCAATACGTATAATGTGGAAGCAGCTTGCCGACGTGCGAGCGAGACGCGTCGTGAACAATTGTTTTGCAATTACATAATATTTCCGGACTCGTCGCGCGTGAACCATTATTATCGGTGTCGAGAAGGTGTGTCGCACGTCAAAGAATTCTCAAGCAGAACGGAAGAAACGGCTGTTCGCTGTTCAACAATCTCTCCCTCCTCTCTCTCTCTCTCTCTCTCTCTCTCTCTCTCTCTCTCTCTCTCTCTCTGTCTCTCTGGCATGTCGCTCCGGGACATCGCAGATGCGTGATCCACGGGCGAGGAATCAATAGAAAGCTAAAGATCGCCGTAACACGTGGATTCAGGTCTTTAGCCGTGATCTCGACTGACACTTATCGCTTGACATTTCCGTCATGCGGAAACTTGCGGAACGTACAATTGGAAGAAAAGGTATTCCCTCTCCCTGTATGTATCCCGTCATAATGCTCGTCGCCGTTACTGGAGCGATGCGCGCGCAGACCATTAAAGAATTTTTCAATTACACTCAACAAATAACGCGCTTAACAAATGACTCAACCCGCGAGTAATATCGCGTCGCATCGGCATACATTATGCATTGACGATAATTAATTACATCCACGCGTCTTATTGTTGGACAAACAAGCACGATCTGTACGCTTAAGTGACAGCAATTTATATAATGCCTGTTAAAATGCCTAAAGAACCAAAATCAGAAAGAAAAATGCTGTCAAAGGGATGCTGAAGTCGGTGATAAACTCCAGAAGTATCAATAACCTGCACTGAGAGAAATTATCCGATAATAAATTAACAAACGGATATTTCCGATCAAAATACCGATAAATTTTTGTATCCTATTGAAAATCGGATGAAAAATATAGTTTATAATTTTTTTATTTTATCTCATGAAATGCCATTTTGATCGGAAATATCTGATAAAATTTAATCGTATATGCTGGTCGGATATAAAAATTGATCGGTATTTTGATCGGAAATATCCGTTTGTTAATTTTTTATCGGATAATTTCTCTCAGAGTAGAGACGATCGTCACTAACACAATCACCCCATCCTTTTCGTATCTCTTATACATAATTCCGTATAAATGTGTATTGCTTTATTTTACTATATTTAAAGGAAAACCTAACCACGCAAATATAAAAATCTTTTTGCAAATTTTTCATAATGTTTAAGCTTCTAAATTTACTTAAAAGGACAATATTCTTTTCATAAATTTACTTAAAAGTGCAATATTCTTTTCCTAAATTTTTCTTGAGAGGAGAAAATACGTGTTAGATTTTTACAAACTGCAGAACTTTTGCATTAAACAAATGTTTATGCTGACTGACAGCTTAACATATAAATTTTGATGTTTTCTATAATTTTCGTCACATATATTGAGCAATAGACCATTTTTAGACGTACTTTAATTACGTAAAAACATTTGTAAGCAAATATACGACAGCAAATATATGCAGCAAATATATCACGTAAATTGCGCAGAATAAATCATTATTTTGTCGGTCAAATCTTCAAGTATAGCATCACCTTAATCGATTCCTACAAAATTGCGCCCCCTTCGCGAAGGAGATCGCGGAATCTAAGGACTCGAGTGGACTCGAGTCGGCTTTCCGCTGACTCGTATTTTCGGCCTGCCACACCTAACGCGCCACGAAATTTGAGACGTTCCGTACGTTCTCGGGCCGCGCACGCGGCCGCCATAAAAGAGCAAAAAATAAAGCTGCGCTGAGAAAGGATCGAGCGCGCGGGCAGCGCGCTTCCTGACTCTCGCGGGGAACATCAATCAAAATTAAAGCCCGTATTCATCGCCGATACTTAAGCTCACCAATTACAAGCGAGAGGCTCTCTGATCAACGGCGCGTCTTCGCGCGCGCCTTCAATTCCGCTCGCCGGGGATTAACGCGCGCGCGTAACGCTGGAATTCCGAGCGATCGTAGAATCGCATATCCGAATGTTTGAGGCTTATTGATAAACTATCTGCGTTTCTGTCAGACGCAGGGTCCATAATAAGGGTGGATACTTCGTGTCTAAAGTAAGTTAAAAATGTCGGACAAAAATTTTTTCTTACAAGATTCTGCCTTTGAAAATTTCGATTTGTAATGTACTAAATATTTTTTTTCTATGAAATATTCTATGAAATTGGTAAGGTCAAATAAAATACGAAAACATACTGAAAATTAATCAATTTCAGTGCATTAATAAATAAGTGTATTTTCTCCTCAATTGGACTTTTATGATTATCAAGACGTGAGACAATTGATGATGGAAACTTTACAATTCTTTCAATTATTTTGATAAAGCAAATATCCTAAATTAATCATTGGATTTATATCATACAATAATGTGAATTTTTTTGTTGTGTTGATGCAGCAATAAATTCACTAAAAGTTACACAGATTTTTATGTAATATTTTGCATGACATATTTTTCAAGCAAATTTTGACTATTCTATTAAAATTTCGTCACTCTATGTGATAAAATATGTGATAATATGAGTAATATGAAACACTTATAAGTTTGCAATCTTTACAAATCGACTAATAAAGTCCACTACCAAATTTACATATACCTGTCTATTACTAAAATTTGGCTTCACGAAAGTACAGGTAAACAAGTAAAATTGTAGAACCGATGGAAATGAAATTGTCCAAACATGAAACACAAATATAAATAATGATCTACAGAACGATAGACCTAAGCATCCGAACATAATCGGCATATTTCCAACGAATATTCAAAATTGACTGTTCCCAAAGCAAAACTTCGTCAGGAAAAATTATGTTCTACATTTCCGACTTAAGGCTGGTTTCACCAACTCCGGTTACGGTCAAAATCTGACCAACGGTGTCAGGATTCCAACTGATGGACATGAGTACTTTGTCATTCTTATTCATTAAAATTTTCAGTTGGAACTCATATCAGCTTTTACCGTAACCAGAGTTGAAAACCGGCCTTTATCTTTGTATGAGGAATCACTCATTTTATGATTTTACGATGATTATGGTCGAGTTCGACATAATACTGATTATATCATGTCACAATTACACTGTGATATCTTAATATTTATATTCAAGAAATTAATGCTTTTAAAAATTTAAAATTAGTATAAAGCGCTCAAATTACTTGCTAGCGACGAAACGTCTGTGTGAAAGGTGATAGAATGAGAAATAGGACCGCGTTTCCACAGCGTTCTTCGAAACTGTTAATCGCTTTGGTTGGGTAACGTTGCCGTCGCTTGGCTCGGATCGCGGGCGCCTTGCACCGCCCAAAGCGAAGCGCTTGCAACGTAAAAAACACAACAAATACAAGATATCTAAGGTATAATACATTAAAAACGCAATTCCAATGAACTATTCTTCTTTCCCATTTAATAATAATATGAATAATTCAGAGATAACAAGAGATTGTCACAAGCATTGTCACGGGAACGATTTCTACCACTTGTTTCAATTGGACTTGGCGCGAGTATTGGCTGTCTACTAACTTTCTGCGTTATTAGAGCATTAAATAGTCAAACAAAATCCACTCCACACATGTCAATAAGAATCATAGGTTAAAACAGATTCCAATTATTGAGTCATCTTTGTCGACAAATAGCGGTTACTTTCACAAAACTATCCATCAGTCGGTGAGTGAATCGCGTGTGAATCACGCTGGAGCTTAATCTTCCTGCATTACGATACAAATAATAGTCGTTTCGTGTGACAGAGTGATATTGAGGTATCAATACCCCAAGAACCGTCGACAACCGGATAGCCATTCAATCGCGTCTCTTCTTCCTCATGAAATTTTTCTAAGAAAAGTACTCTTGTTCCTAGAACGCGTGAACCCGCAAGAACAAATAGTTCAGACGTTCGAGTGAATATCCAGAATTCCATAACTTTTACCTTGGCTGTGCTCGCCGGCGTCGAAGGTCTTGCTGGTCATTTGAAAGAGCGCGTCCAACGGACTGCCTTGTCCTGTCGTTCTCTTGCCGTTCTGTCCAGCGTGCGAGCTGTGCTGCTGCTGCGAGGTTTTCCGCTTGAATTGCTGCGGCTGTTGCGGCTGCTGCAGCGCCGGGTGATGGAGGCCGGGATGAATGCCGTGGTGGAGCGCGGCGTGATGATGGTGATGATGAGCGAGCGGATCCGGGCTACCGGAATCCGATACGGAGCTCCTGCCGGATGACGAGGAGCTGCTAAGGGGAGGCTCGCTGATGGAGCTGGACATGGACGCGAGCGACATGCCCATCAGCGAGAGATCCCGAGGCCCGGCATGGGCCGAGTGGTGATGATGGTGGTGCAGGTGGTGATGCGGATGGTGCTGTTGTTGTTGCTGTTGATGATGGTGATGATGATGGAGGTGATGGCGGTGCTGATGACCGAGGCTAGAGTCTACCGTGTCCCACGGTCGGACAATTTTCGCCTTCGGCCGGTGGGACAAGATGTCTAGGATACTGAAGGATTTGACGCCACGATCATTGGACTCCCGTTCCCTTTCTTCCTCCTCGTCCGAGTGTTGCATTTGCACCATTTTGAGGCGCTTGAGCGGCTTGAAGTAATCGTCAGTGGTGCCGGCAGTGGTCGCGCCGTTGCTGCCGGTCCTACTGTCGACGTCTTCTTCCTCTTCGTCATCATCCTCCTCGTCGTCCCTGAGCGTTGTGACGGAGTCGCCACTCTCACGGGCTCTACCACTCGCTCGCCCGTTCGACATCCTATAGTCGCCGTTGCGGGAGTAGCTCTCTTCGTCCTCTGTCATCGCGTCGCAAGGATAAGACCTTCTCGGGCTCAGGCGCTCGACGTAATCTTCCCTTGCGGACGTCACCAACTCGTCCTCCGTATTGGGTGTCACCACCACCAACGGCAAGGGACTAGGGCAGCCTACGGAAATCTCGTCGTCGTCGTCTTGCACGTCCCCTCGACTTGGAGAACCTCTGCACGACGTCCGTCGGTGCGCCGGCGAGCCGCTCATACAACCGGGCGTCGCGGCGCTGGAAGATACCGTCGTCGACGGCGACATCGTGTACGATTCCGTCATCTCCGTGGTGCACATGCCGTGCGTACAGTGAAACGTGCTAAACTGAAGTGCGATATCCCTCGGTCCACTCGGCCGCAGAACTCTTCCGTCTTTTTTTGCTCGCTAGCCAGGCCTTCTTTTTGCCAGCCGAGGCCACGGCAGATTTGAGCCCTTTAAACTACGTACATCTTCCCGACACGACCGTGCACTCTCACCTTATAATTCACGTGGTTCTCACACAACAACGAATCTCGTTCACTGGCTTAACATGTCCGAATCCCCGGCAATCCTCACGAGGATTCACCGGCTCGAGCAACACAATCGTGAAGTCTTTCTTTCTCTCTTTATCTGTTTCTGTCTCTGTCCCTCTCGCAGTCACTATCGAGAACTCGTCATCGCGACGCGCGCGAATTCTCCATCGTCGTGCCCGAGGCAGTGCGCGAGTCTCATTATCGACTTTAGGACTCGACCCCCTTCTCCCGCCGAAGCATCCTCTTCGGCTCTGCTGAACGTTCCCTCACCCCAACACTGTCACCATCGTCCCGAACGAGACACCGGATTCTCGTAGAGGAGCTTCATCACGAGCCAGTTTCGCAGCAACCTGTTCGTGGACGAGACGGATTTTGGTCTTGCTGCCGTGTTCCAAAATCCCCCTGCGCTATTTCTCACTGAAACACCAGCACAGCTACGCGCGTCCCAACGCCGTTCCCGGAGGTACCCGCAGCGAACGAGATACGCGCGCGAAACGTCAATACGTCGGCGTTTAACGAGCTTCGGAGCTAAGGAGGCAGCCGGGTGCCTCCTCTCAGACCAGTCCAAGCCGGTGACTCGAAATGATACGGGGACGGGGATTCCCGGCGCGGCGTTGGGCAGGCGCTTTCCTCTCAGCCGGTCTGGCGCACGCGTAGGAGGGTGGTGGAAGGCTCCAACCGCCGTACCAAGTCTCTTGGGTCGCTGCCACGTACCGGGCGCCACCTCCATCGTAAAGACCATGCCTCTTTTGCGGATCCAGGGGCGTGGCCAGTTGGGACTCCGCCTATCCGTTGCGGCTATGCCGGCACAGCAAAATGACGCCGCCACGGGATGGAATTTTTACGAGACGTACTTAACGTCCCACAGCGCACCGTTCGCGTAGCGCGACCGTCCTTCCTTCCTTTCGTCCTGTTTCTCTTCTCGACTACCCTCCGGAGCTCCTCTATCTCTCTTCCTCCGCTACGAATCGCGTCCTCTCGCTCTTTCAAACGCGCGGGACTGACCCTCCACGACGCGGAGGACGACTAACGAGGGCCCACCGTGATTTCGTCCCACCCGGAGTGCGTGCATTTCGGGCCTCCACTGCGCGAGAGGCCGGCTTGAGAGAGGATTATCGGGTGGAAAGTTAACGGCCGTGTCCCGATAGTGAAGCTGAGGACGACTTTGGGCCAGGCGACGAAATATCTTCTCCGATATGCGTGGCGCGCTGTATTCCGCGACGAGGAGCTGTGGACGGAATCATCTTCCGCGGTATTATATGTTATGCATTATGCATAACGTCCCTCTATAATTTCAGTTTGTCAGTTACTTCCTCCATTATTATCCGCGTCTTCTTCACTTTGCCTGCTCTCGTAGTTACTCGAATACAATATAAGTGCGAATGATGCAAGTGATGATAAGGATAACTTGGAATCTTTGCATTCGAAGTGATTCAAAAATTCAACCTTATTGTTTCCTTTATAACGAAGAGATTTCTTTCTATATTGCGAGAAATTGGTTCTGTAACACCGCAATGTCATCGATATTAGTTTAATTCAAACAAGCGGAAGTATCTGCAGTGAATTAGAGAGAAAAAAGACAGAGACAGAAAAAGAGCTGATCGTTTATAGTTGAAATTGTCAAAGGACGATGATGGCTGCCGTCAGATCGCTAGCCCGTAACTACGACATTAGAAGACTATCTCAACTATTACATACGGACCATTATCTACAGTCCGATTTGAGAATCGATTTAGCTGTGTAATTGCGGCAATCTCGTCGACAAGGTAGCAGACAGTGTTTTAGTATCGCGTCTATATTACTCTTCCGCCACAGACGTCATTAAATTGCAAAAGTTAAAAACTTTCACACGCGAAGAGCAAATGAAACCGTTTTTCCTCACTTATCTCAATTATCTTTTTCTCGATTTTCTTAGGCACATCGACAATATATCCCGCATAACACTGAGAAACTCCAATCATCTTTGATGTGGAATCAAAATCACCGCCGTTCCAATTGTATTCCAATCTAATAGCCACCAAATTGGATTTTACATTCGATTCCCAATGTGGGGTCGTTACTAAATATCAGATTTTGAATAACTACCACTGACAGTCAGTACCAGTCCAATATTACAATGGGATTACAATGGGATGATAATGTTCGACAATTGGATTAACATTAGTCAATTTTTGGTCATTTTTCAATTGGATCTAATGTTGACAACTGATTCGTGGTCGAGCATTAACATTCATACATCAACCAAAGTGTATTTCTTATTTAGTGCTTGACATTGGCTATAAAATATTGGTTTAAAGATGGCCTACCATTTGCTCACAACGCAGTCCTAAAATATTAGGACAAAACCCAGGAAAAATCCAAAACACATAAATGAGAAGTGTGTCAAATATATTTATTATTCATTAAAAGACATTCTATTAACACATTCTATTAACTTCATAGAATTTTACACGATCACGTTTGTTCATGATGGTGGAAAATCCTAAGATGCTGAGATGTTGATCATTACTTTCAGATAAATCACTCTGATAGCTAATGCTACTGCAGAAAGATCAGTCCTTGAAGAGTATATACAATGCTACGTGAGTAGGCATCCTATTTTCCAATAATAGAAACATTCCCGCACAGGTGACAGATAACAATCATATTAATAAATAAGACCAAACATTAATTCTACTTAACGTCTGGCTATTCTAATGTTAATTTCTTTTTTCACTAAACCGTTCTTTAAGCTGGATGTTGGAAAATATCTTATCAATTGACTTCCGAAATGATTAATTGAGTAAGAATAACCGTTTTAATTTTTACCAGAATATCTCTTTTTACGTTACCATTTTCAAGTTTGACGGTATATCTATAAAAAAGTTCCCACAAAATCAGAAGGTTACTTATTGTCGTGAGGATCTTTTGTACGAATTGATGAATGGAGAAAGAGCAAGCGTATATACGTTCCCATTGAACACGTCCAACTTAAATGCGGTAAAGTCGAAAACCGTTGAATTCTGTGGCGTATGTCATTTTTCTTCTTTTCATGTGTATGTGACTAGTCGGTGAAATCGCACACCGGACGCATCCGACGGACCGTTATGCGTCTACTTTGTATTGTCTCTCGAACGTAAATTTCTGTGTTTTTACTTTCCTACAGCAGAGCAAAAACTGAAAAGGTGTAATTTATTAATTTTTTTATATAATAATCCAAATTATATGAAATTATACACGTCAATAACGTGACCCATTATTTTGAAGCAATATTGAACATCACTCCAGTAGATAATCAATTATTCAATACGCCAAAAAAATACCAAGTTACAATTGTTTGATTTTCCGCGCTGTCGTAATAAACATACAAATATCAAATGAAATTTTATTAATCGCGGGTGAAAATTAATTGCCGTTACAATATAGAAGAAATTAACAGAGATTTCTGTTATTGTCTCTCTCTCTCTCTCCCCTCTCTCTCTCTCTCGCTCCATACATACTACATCGACATTACTAACTGATTCGCGATGCAAATGCGAATTTATATAACGCCGTGAAACAATTTGCTTTCACCAGGCGACGAGTCGCTTTCGTGCCTTCGAAATTTCACAGAAGCGGATTTCGCGAGCCTGTACAGCATAGGTAGCCCGAACGCCGATGATCGTAATAAATCGCGCTAACCAATTTACCGCGCTTAGCGCACACGACGATACTAAATTGTGCGCGATTGCATGCAACTTGTAATCCAATCCCACCGACATATCCTGCCTATCTAGATTGCCGCGGATTAATAGTCGTTATTTCGCGTAAGTAGTATATGCCTGAAAAATGCCAGCTGCGTAAACGCGACGTGCACGAGGAACAATTGTCTCGGCGAGCAATCATGTCGCTCGCGATTGATACGGCCCGTTCCTCAGATTGACAAATTAATATTCGGCCGGTAATTTCTCGTGAAATAAATTCCGTCTGCGAACCCCGGGCGAGAACCTTTCCCTCAACGACATGACGTCGGAAGATATATGGCGAGGCAAGATATACGGAGGAGAAAAGCGGATTAAACGCGCGCATTTTGTTCCGTATCTTGAACTTTATTTCAATGCGCCGCGTGTTTCAGATTTTATTAACAATCGTGAATTCTTCGTGAGATTGGATCCCGCCGATGCAGATAAACTCGTAATTCCGTCGTGACTCTGTGGAACATCGAGATTCTATTGAAATAAGAAGACAAATAACTCGAGACCAAATATCTCTTCATCGATTGTTGGAGAGTCGAAGTTCTAACCTAGATTTTTATGATTATTACGACGTGAGATAATCAGTGATAGAAAATTAGAATAGTTTCATAAGAAATACAATATAATTATTTTAATATCATCTTCCGACATTCAAAAACATATTCTCAATCCAATATTTTATATTTCCTATTTAATAAAAATTATTTTTAAATAATACTATGTTTCTTAAATCATATAAGAAAAATATATTGATGCAAGTAACTTATCTTTCTTTAACGCAATGTAATCTCATTTTAAGATTTACATGTCAAAGATAAAGATATTTTTAAAACGAAAATGTTCTTTTCTTTCTATAAATTTATATTATACAATAGTATGATTTTTCTGTTATATGCAATAACAATTTATATGTTTGAAGTAAATCCCACTCATAACAGATGCAATCTTTATAAATTGACTAGTTATAAATAGTTTACATATTAGTTTAATTAGAAAATATTATAAGCTAGTTTAATAAAAATAAAATATACAAATATACAAAATATTACAAATACGTTTACAAACCGACTAGTGCTAAATTTACATACACCTGTGTGTGTGTGTGTGTGTGTGTGTCTGAATTTTCAGTAAGTCAGTATTCTGTCAATAAAAAATTTGATTCTAGCATCCTCTTGATAACTAAATCTTAATTTAAATTTCATTCTCTTCAAGCGACTTTACAACGTCCGAGCAGGCATTCATCGCCATAACCCCCGAAACAATCGACATCCCGACACTTTTGCTGCGAAAAACGAAAAACTCGAAACAGATCAAAGAACACTCCCGTCGAAATTGGCCATTTATTTCATGGACGACACCCCGCATTTAATATCTAATATTCGACGTCACGCGATATCGCGCCAGCAATTAAAGAATAGTAGAGAAATACTTATTGAATCAATCACCGGCATGAGCACACACGTGCACGCACACACAGCAAGACAGACAGGCAGACAAACACACTCACCTCGGCCCGAAGCCGTTGATTGCGAGGAGCGCGCGGCTCGTCTCATTCACCGAAATCAGTAAAATCTTTTTAGAGTCCCCTTAGGTTCAATTTAGCGGGCAGGAGCGGTGCCGACCGTTCCCGGCCAGTTCGACCAACCGGACCATCCGTCCGTCTGTCCGTCCGTCCGTCCGTCCGTTCGTTCGTTCATTCGTTCGCTGCCCTTTTTCTTCCTCTTCTACGTCTTCGCTTCTTCTTCCCGGCCTTCCACGTCGGCTTTTCTATCCCGATACAAAGAGGCGCGAGCGAGCCTAATTATTATGATAGCTCGCCACCGGATTCTGTCGGTCCCTTTGATCTGCCGCCGT